TACTGTAGTACTGCCACACATCGCGGACAATTATATGCTCTCCGCTGTTGTACTGGTTTGATGGCACTCTCCACCACCTCTCATGAGGAACAAGAATCGGGAGGATGCGACAGTCCAAAGGAAGAATAAATGCCATTTACGAAAATGGACGACTTGGGCCGGTACTTCGACCCAAAAAAAGGGATTGAGGCTCAAACCGATTTTGACGTTTACCAACTGTAGGACCGAACGCCTTCCAAGCGAGAAATACCCTAGCCCTCGGTGAGGGATGAGGTGAAGAAATGCCATTTACGAAAATGGACGACTTGGGCCGGTACTTCGACCCAAAAAAAGGGATTGAGGCTCAAACCGATTTTGACGTTTACCAACTGTAGGACCGAACGCCTTCCAAGCGAGAAATACCCTTGCCCTCGGTGAGGGACGAGGTTATGCACGACTTCTTTTTTGGCGGCATGAGAGCGGTCGATGGGAGGAATCTATCCATACCAGCACCCAGTTGCAGTTGCAGCAGCAGGCCGCTCGCTACTTCTGCTGTCTGTGCGTCGCTACTTCTGCACTCACTGTGGTGCGTGGTTCGTGGAATGAGCGGCCCGCAGGCCCACAGGACACAAAAAAGGGGGGGTACGCGGAAGAAAAACGGGGTACCTCCATTATCAGTTATTCTCCCGGGCCCCCTGGTGCTCAGCAGCAAAACAAGTTTCCTTTAAGCGGGGAGTTTCCTTAACGTGAGCGGCCTTCAAGCGGGGTCGACTGTACTCTCTCTCCTTTCGTGCCCCACGCAGACACTCTCTCTACAGCCGCCCTACGCCCACATGTAGGCTCACATCCGGCTCGGTCCCACGGAACCTTTCGCCCTTTCACACACGTCATGTATTTCGTGCCAGTCTCTCTCTCCATTCTCATATACCAATCTGTAGGCAGATTTTTTGCTCTGCCACTTCGCTCTCTGTCTGGATCTCACGCACTCCTCCTGTCTTTGCGATCACACGAGATCTCTGCTGTCTCTCTTTTCTCACACCCTGCATCATCATGTCCTGCTGTACGGGCCTGTCAGGGATTTCCGCAAGATTCTCCGCCTGCGCACTCCGATTCTCTGTTTTCCCGACCTCGGCAACTTGCGCTCGCCCCCCCCCTCCTCTGACTCCGCCGCAGCACCTTCATCTACGTGTTTATACATGTCCTCACGCAACATCTTCAACGCCTCTCCTGCTGCCAACCAAGCGATATAACTTTTGTGTCCATTCTTCACGCGCCACATTTCCAGCGGGCCGCTACGGCCAACATTCCGAATTTTCGGCCGCTTGGCAGCTCCCCATTTCTCCAATCAAAATCTAACTTGGATTTAGATTGGGCCCTTTCGGGATGTTATTCCGTTCCGGTTTTTTGTCGATCGCACGCTCGCTACACACAGCACACAGACGCTTAGCCGTGTAGTACGCACGAAGTCTCCCTCGCTCTGTAGGTTGTCTCTGTCTCCCTCGCTATCGGTTTGTTGTCTGTTTATCTCTCTTTTGTCTGTTTGTCTGTCTGTTTCTTTCTCTCTCTCTCTCTCTCTCTCTCTCTCTCTCTCTCTCTCTCTCTCTCTCGGTCTTCCTCTCTCGCTCTGTCCCTCCGTCTCTTCAGCTTACACATCCCCACACAAAAATCCGATTCTTCTGAGTAAAGGTCGCAATTGTTTTTCAGTTCCGGATTTCTTTCTGATGATTATCGTCTCAGCTGTACAAGACAACACACTGTGCCCTCTAGAGAGTACACAGTAGTTGTTCTCGCTTTGTCTCTCTCTGGTCTCGGCCCCTCTCGTTCTCCTTATTGCTCTCCCCCCCCCACCCCTATCTCTCGATCTCTTTCGCTCTCCTTCTTGCTCTCTATCCCCCCCTCTCTCTGTCTATCGCTCTCTACAATCCCTCCAAATTTTTCCGGGGATCTTTCCCATTCGCTCCTCCTGTTGCCACAGGTTTTCGGTGTTCTCCTTTCTCCTTTCTTCGTGCCGCCCCGTGGAGACGCCCCTCCTTCGTGTTCCGTTGGGGTGTATACACGATGAAACGCTGTTGTGCTTTCC